GAGGGTGGAGCACAGGGGTCATGTGCAGCCCAGAGCCAGCTTGAGGCTTACAGGACGCTGGAGGTGCTGGGGAGGGGAGTGTTGGGGAAGGTGGGCCTCCACCCCCAGTCCACACCAACTCAGTTCTTCCCCTCTTATCTTTACCTCCACCCAACCACAGAGACCTTCACAAAATCTCCTGTGAGAGACTCTTGAGACGTCTCAAAGCCAATTTTTTGCCTCTGCCTCAGGTCATACCATCCCAGAATTTTTTTTATTTGTCCAGGGCTGGGACTAAAGAGTAGCCAGTGGACCATTGGAGCAGTTCGTTCTCAGAGTCATGCAAGTGCTGGCCTTGAGTCCTCCTTGAATGTCAGTTCAGGGCTGGGATACACATGCTCATTGACAGCTGCGTGGTTGAGCTTGTGTTCTTTCTATGACCACTAGGCTTGTGTCACCTGTTCTGGGTAAAATGAGCATTCCCAGGTACCTGATGGCCTTGGTGAGCTTAGAAGGCACATGGGTGGGGAGCCACAGGAGATGCAAGCTTTGGCTCACTCAGTTGGGATCGTGAAGACCTCTATATGGCATTTTACTTGGTTTCTTTGCTTTGTCTCCTACATTGAGACTTAGGAACACTGTCCTTATGAACACATGACAGGAAAAGGCCTGTGGGCTTCTACAGACTGTGGCTTGGGCTGATGAGGAGGACACTGAGAAGTCTTTTTGCTAAGTGCCTGTGAGAAAGGCCATGTGCCCTAGGGCCCTGCAGACTCTGTCTTGCCCATGTTGTACCACTGGTCCATGCGCTGGGAAACCTGGGCAGGAAGATGACCCAAAGAAGTGTATTTTATCTAGTACTAAGATTCCCAAGGAAGAGAGCTCGGTCTTCCACAAGGAACAGGTCTCAAAACAAGACTGTCGGGTATGGTGCTATGCTCCTTTTAACAGCACTTGGAAGGCTGAGGACAGAGGACGGAGGCGTCAGCAGTTCAATGACATTCAAGACCACATAGCAAGTTGTTGTTGTCCAGGACTACAGGAGACCCAGTTTCAAAAGGACAACAAACAAAACAACAACAGAATACAAAAACAAATACAAACAACAATCTCCTTAAAACAACAACAAAAACACAAAACAACAACACCCCTCTCTCCCCAAATCAGAGGTGTCAGGCATATGGCCATGCAGCCCTGATGTTGAGACTATGGATCCAGATCTGAGTCCATGACTATGTTATGAGTGATTCCAGGAAGCAGTGACTCAAGTCCTGAAGAGTGTCACTGACGAATGGAGGTTTCCCAAGAAACGACAGAGGAAATCTCTGTCCTTTATCACCTGGAGAACCCAGGGCTGTGAACACAGGGCTCTTTCTCTCTTTCTCTTTGACTAGGTGGTAGATTCGGATCTGCTTCACAGCCCACAAGAGCTGGGGAATCTCTTTCTGAAAACAAGCCACCCACTTCCTTTCGGCGTGGAGGGGCTGCTGTGGTTGGAGTAAGGAGGAAAGAGAGGGCTGGTGGTGGAGCCCCTCTGCTCCTGTGGATGGGCCTGGTGGGCAGCACAGCTGCAGCTGCTCCTCTCTGAAGGCGGCAGGACAACAGTGCTGTTTCTAGATGCTTCTGCTTGGTATTGTCAATCTAGACCACCGCAGGGCAGAGGGGCAGACACTACCAGTATTCCAGAACCCAGCTTACAGGGGTTATGTGGTACAGTCAAAACCATTTAGGACACAAGCAAAGAGCCTGCTGTGCTGTGGCCGCAGACACACTACAATATTTTTCATGCTACATTTATGGAAGAATTACTTGTATTTTAGATATTGTAAAAGAAAATTTTTACAATAGCAACTTTTTTCTTCCAAAATTTTGTCTCCACCATTATAAAATAAATATATGAAAGCACAGAGCCACACAACCAGCTGTTCAAATACTAATTTTAGTCATTTATGCAATGTTCTTTACTTGGGGTTTTATTTTCATTTCTTTATTTTGAGATGAGGTCTCCAATTTATTATGTAGCCAGAGATGATCTTATACTCCTGATCCTCCTGCCTCAACCTCTTGAGCACTGTGATCACAGGCGCGCATACCACCACCTCGGGTTTGTAACTTTCTTCACATCCCATAAGTAAGCACTCTACCCTCTGAGCCCCCCTCCCTGTATTATGGTTTTCAAAACAGAAACGGAAAGTCTCCAACATTCCTGCCAGGAACAACTGAAAGTAAATTCTTTTTAGAAATTATTTTTATGTATATATATATGGTCTTTTGTCTACACGAATGTCTGTGAACCACTTGCACACCTGGTGTGTGTGTAGGCCAGAGAAGGACTCTGGATCCATGGGAACTCCACAGATCGCTGTGAGCCACCATGAAGATGCTGGAAATTGAACCTGGGTCCTCTGGAAGAACAGTCAGTGTTCTTAACCACGAGCCATGTTCTTGGAGTGAATTCTTCTTCTTCTTTTTCCCAACACAATGCTTTTATTGAGTCTTCGAGATTTCATATCCTACGTCTTACACTGTCCTTCCCTCTCCTGACCCCACACTAATCGCATCCCCCACCAAACAAACAAACAAACCCAAAACAAAACAAAAAACCCAAAAAGTTCAATTTTTGTTAACTATATCTTTATTCAGTGGGGCATGGTTAAACTCTCAGTGGCTGCCCCCTAGATGGAGCTGAATCCTTCCCCTCTGGAATCCCTGCTGGAAGCCACCCACTGTGGAGGGGGACATCCCAGCATCCTAGTCGATCAGCTTTTAAGAGTTCTTTCCTGGAGTGAACTCTTATAGGCCCCTTTCTACGCATATAAAACATATGTTTGCAGGCCTTTATAGATTGTTAGAAAAAATCCAATTTGTAGAACAATGGGGTGATACTTTCTTTTTCTTAAGAATTTTACACACACACACACACACACACACACCCCACTTTGAGACAAGGTCTCACATGTGGCCCTAACATATTTCTTAACAGTGATATAAACTCACTTATAAAGCTGGACCATAATTTATCTACCTAGTTTTTCATCAAGTCTACCTTTTTTCTTTTTTAAAACCATGCTGGCTGTTGAACCCAGGGTTTTGAAGTTATTTTGGGGGGACCTTTAAGTATTTCCAATTTTATGCTACCGAGCAGAACCACAAGAACAATTCAATGTGGTTCTGTGTTTGACCATTAGCCTATTTAAAATGAATGCCAGGCAGGACATTGTAGCATAATGTATACACTATGGACTTTTAAGCACTAGTGACATCTCAGTTCCCTCTTCTGTATAGTAGTCAGGTGCAGAGTCTAGACCGCCTCGCCGCAGCCCCCAACTCTTGGTAGCTAACTTTGATCCAGCTGCGCCGTCTTAGCAGCTGCTTGCTGCACAGTACACAGCCAGCCCACTCCTACCATCCCAGACCCACCCAAACTTGTAAACAAGCAAATGCAATTGCTGAGACAGAAACAGGGACATGCTCAAATATCACAGTCTGAGGTGGGATGAGCAACCTTGAGGTGTGCTCTTCCTTCCGCTGTGGACGGGGTACGAACCTTCAGGGAGCAGAGGCTGCACGCAGCCTGGGTCTCAGCCTTACCATTTACAGAGTGTCTAGGACAAGAGACCATCTTGACCCTTTACTATTCCCCCATCAGTCTCGAGACATGGCTTGTCATGTGCAGAAAGCATTTACTTCACGGGAGGACCTCCTGCACCTGCACTGTCACTACCTCACCCAGTTCTGCCTCCGTTGCATCTCATGAACGCACATGCCAGATGCAATGGTTTTTGCCTTGCTGCTTATAGGCTGCTAAAGCCCATAATGAAGACAAATGGAGGGACATTTTAAAATTTAGGATTCTTCTTCTTCAGTCTGAATTCACCTCATCAGTTACTCCTTGGTCACTCCCTCTATGGCTGTAGAGGCTAAAACATGATTAGCAAATTTATGGACAATAACTCTGGTTTTATACTTGTTTTGGTACATGGTTCTCTTGATGCAGGAGTTCCGGGACTTAACCTTCATGAGCAAGTTCTGAGACAGGAATAGGGAGGGACATTTGGGGTCATGGGGTGATAGATTCTTATGTCTCTAATCTGGAAAACCTGTTACCTACCAAAAGTTTCTCTCAGTAATAGTTGGCAGTGTATGGCATGTGCCTGGTCTTTTCCCCCTTATCTTATTACAAAAGACAAAAAAATAAAAGACATTACCCCATGAGGAAGAAAGTTCTCTTAAGAGAGAGAGAGAGAGAGAGAGAGAGAGAGAGAGAGAGAGAGAGAGAGAGAGAAGTTGGTGGCCAGTGTCAGCTGGTAAGATGCTTCAGCAGGTAAAGACAGGAGTCTCACGACCTGTGTCTATACCTGGAATCACAGTGGAAGGAGAGAATCAACTTCTAGAAGTTATTCTAGAAATATTACATATGTAATATTTTTAAAATTACGAAGTGTGGGGCTCACACCTTTAATCCTATCACCCGGGATCCAGAGGTAGGTAGATCTCTGTGAGTTTGAGGCTAGCCTCATTTATGTATTGAGACTTAGGCAAGCCATAGCTATCCCTCCCCCAACCTCTGCAAAAAAAAAAAAAAAAAAAAAAAAAAAGACTCCAAGGCCCTCCAACGGCTGGAACACCTGTTCTTTTCTATCAAAAGAGCTTGTAGTATCACTGTGACTCTCTCTCTCTGTGTGTGTGTGTGTGTGTGTATGTGTGTGTGTGTGTGTGTGTGTGTGATGACAGCACGGCCTGGCTTTGGAAGTCCTAGGTATTTCCTAATCTCTTCATCCACAATTCAAGTTATGGGCACACTGTGTGGCCAAATAAGGGTTTTAGATGTAAGGTGAGAACACACAAAATGAATTCACCCCTCCTTTCTTCCCACCCCCACCCCGTGCTGGTGACTGAACCCAGGACCTTGTACGTTTAGGCTGGAGTTCTACATTCCCAGTCACTCCTCAACTGAAGTCAATACTTTTGCTGTAGAGGAGCAAAAGTATTGACAACCTGGACATCGTCACTAGAACTACTGTGTCTTTAACACAAGACTTTATTTTTATAGCCAAGACATTTTCATAGAAAGGGCAGGGAGTGAGAGAAGAAATATATCTGCCACAAGAGAGAAGTGAAGCTTAAGAAACATCCTACTAGATGAAATAGAAGTCTGTCTCCTGAGCAACAGCTTCTCAACTCCAACGCAAGGCCTGAGAGAGTAAGATGGCTGTTTGCAGGAAACCTTATTCATGAGGTGGCTTCTCTGTGTGAGGATGTGCTGTCTTCTCCAAGGCTGCTCCCCTAGCTCTCTCCCACGAGATGCCAAAGAAACAATAATGCTGCCCTACCGAGTAACTGACAAAGTGGCTAGAAGGCCACCATCCAAGGTCCAGTCCAAGAAGGGTACATGGTGTCGTGGTGGGATTTCTTGGTTCTTCAGCACACTCTGTGAGTGAGCCTGGATTCTGGGGCCTTCTCTGTGAGTCTCATGTCTGGCCACACACAGAACTTGCAGCAGTTCAAAGCAGGCAGCTTTAGCAAGGGGGTAGCCTCTCCATCGCTGGATGTGCCGTCTCTCAGGAGTCCAGGTCTTGGTTTTTATTGAGCCACAGTCCTTTGTAACAGGCTATCGGTGTTGTGGGTGCTGATCATTTGTGAAACCTGGGAAGCAACAGAAGTTGTGAGACTCTTATTTTCAGGCCAATGACACTGTTGCTATGTTATAGAAAAAGCAATGGCAGATGGAGGAAGAGGCAGGCATGCCTGGGCTGAGAGCTTTGTTAAGATGGTTCATAAGGCCCAATTCTATCATGTAAAAACTTAAAATTAAAAAAAAATACCCAACAACAAAGAAAAACAAACTACAACAAAATAACACACACACACACACACACACTATGGCTCAAAACCATTATCTTTGGGACCAGTAGGATGGCTTAGTGGGTAAAGATGATTTTACTCCCGAGTCTGATGATCTGAGCTCAACACCCAGTACTAGTTATTCTGCCCTGCCAGAGTGCACATGCACACACAAAATAAAGAATTAATAATAAAAAAAAAGACACTAAAACCTCCTAGCTTTGAGTGATATTGCTTCTTGAAGCACTCTCTAAGATGACCTGAATGAATACAATGCATACAGGAGGCAGGAGGCGATGGGCCACTGGTGGGAGGATCCTCTGTGATAGCAAGGTTGGTAACATCTGCCTCAGATTGCACCTTGTGTTTGCTAACACCTGATCTGTGAGGCCTGAGCTGATCCTAGGGACTGTTGTGTCCGCACCTAGAAGTGTTTTGTTTGTTTGTTTTTTAAGGTCTCAAAGGTATAAAACAATTGGGCATACTAGAGTTAAAGATCTCAAGGCTAGCCTTTGGGATACTGTCTCAAACTCTCTCTCTCTCTCTCTCTCTCTCTCTCTCTCTCTCTCTCCTCCTCCTCCTCCTCCTCCTCCTCCCCATGTGTGTGTGTGTGTGTGTGTGTGTGTGTGTGTGTGTGTGTGTGTAGGGTGTGTATTCTCAGGATCAAATTGATATGTATAGCAGGCAGATGAGAAACACCTATGCTGAAGGAAAAAAAAATCAACTCCAAGGGATGGGGCAAGGGCTGGGGCTCAGTTGGCAGAGTTCTTCTTGGTGCGCACCAAGCCTTGAATTTGATCTCAGCACTCATATGCCAGGCACGTATATATGCAGGTGGTACATGCATATAGTCCCAGCACTAGGGAGGTAGAGGTAGGAGGATCAATAGTTAAATGTTAGCCTTGGCAAATAGCGAGTTTGAGACCAGAGTGGAATATATGAGACCCAGTCTTGAAACAGTAGCACTGAATCAAATCTGGGAAGACTATCTGAGGCTGGGGGGCTCACTATTGTAGACCTGAAGTCTGGGGGAACCACAGCCTCCTTCTTGGACAAGCCCTTTGCTAAGGGCCGACGGTTACAGAGTGTTCTTTTTTTCATGTATTTTTAAATTTATGCAGCTGGTTAGTTGTTTGAGAGATAGGATCTGTAGTGAGCCTGGCTTTGCACTTTCCATCTAACTGAGGATGACTGGGAACTTCCCTTTTCTTTAGTCAAGGTTATTCTGTGTCCTGGCTGTCCTGGAACTCACTCTGTAGACCCAGCTAGTCTTAAATTCACAGAAATCACCTGCTTCTTCCTCCCAAGTTTTGGGTTTAAAAGGCCTGCTCGGAGTAAGCCACTGTACTTGGTTTATGTGGTGCCGGGGATTGTTAGGCAAACACTCTGCCAAGTCATCCAATCCCTCAGGGCCCCCGATCTGTGACTTTTTGGAGAACAGTACTTACTGTTTCATGAAGTGAATTCGGGCTCTCCTCCGCACACCTGGAAGACCAGAGCAGAGACAAACAAGTCAGCACTGGTTGGTGGATCACTAGCGTCAAGCCTCAGAGCCCGAGAGGAAGGCAGCATGGTTAGCCAACACCCGCAGCTTCTGCTGGGGTGCTAGGGTGGTCCCCAGATTCTTCACATTTCACACTTTTGTTGTTTGACGTGTTTAAAATTATTCACTCATCCGTCTCATAATTTTAACAACCTTCATGAATGCTACTAGATTCTACTCTACTATATCCATCTTACATGTGTGGAAACTGAGGCACAGAGCATGTGAGTTGTCAAATAACTTGTCTGAAAGCCATGTAGCTAGTGGCAGAGACTTAATGCATTTTCTCTACTCTAGTTTGTACCTTAGATAAGCTTTCCTGGGGGCTGGGGGCCTAGCACAGTGGTGGGACACCAGGCCTGGTTCAAATTTCAATAGCACACAACAAAAGTTACTGTCTTTTGCAGCAGGCAACAACAGAACTCCGAGGGCATCCAGAGCAGTGAGGACACACTCCTTCCAGGATGCAGGGAGCAAAGAGAACTGTGCTGTGTTTGCTTCCTCAGAACATTCGTATATGTTTTTGAAGCAGAGTCTTAGGTGGCCCATGCTGGTCTCAAATTCAAATTCACTATGTAGCCAAGGCTGGCCTTGAACTCCTGATCCTTCTACCTTTACCTCCCAAGTACTGGGATTGCAGGCATGTGCAGCAGGCTCAGCTAGACCACTGGGGTTCTTATAACAGGGTATACAGGGGATAACAGTGTACCAAAGTATTTATGCTCTCAGCTGGTCTTCTCTGGGGTGGGGGCCCACAGCTGTCAGAAATTCAAAGGAATCTGCGACCTGGAAATATTAAGAGCCATTGATCTGGTTGGTGTCCCTGATGTTTCCTGCTTCCCTTTATAGCTGTCCAAGGGAGGAAAAGTGATGTGCTCAAGGCAGCAGAGGCGAACAGAAGGACCGGGATAGTCTGGGCTCTCCTCTTCTTTCCTGTTCATTTTATGAGAGCAGTGACTGCAGAGTTTGGGTGATACAGGAGCTAAGGGAAGCAGCCACATGACTCTCTCTGCAGTGCCACTGGGGAAGGGTACTTCTAGGAACAACATTTAAAGACCACAGGTGAGCTTTTTGGAGTATCGGGCTTTCATAGCTACGGCCAAGAGTCCCCATGTACCTAGCACATGGGCCCCAAGGACATTACAGATAGCACCTTTTAATGCATTTCTGGTATATAGGTAATATTCTACTCCTGGGTGGGCAGCTGAGACCCACTGAGGCCAAGATCAAAGTCATTCAAGGACAGAACAGTGGACTCAAATCTAGCCTTCGCCTGACTGCTAACACAGGTGGAATCTCGCTTTGGCCTCCTGGGTCAGGGGCAGGGCTGTGTGTAGAACCCCAGTGATCTAGCTGAGCCTGGGGCACATGCCTGTAACCCCAGATCAGTGGTAGAGAGCACCCAACATGCTCTGAGTTCAAGTCCCCGAATTCCTCAAGTCTCCAAAACCAGAAAGCCACTTTCAAGCCATAAGGATCATTGGAGGTAAGTTTACTAACTTACTGCTACCTTCCTGAACAAAGTACTCCTGGATACACACTTCAGGTAGCAAAATGAGGGCCCTTCAATGTCCCGTAGGCATTGACTCACAGTGAAAGTGGACAGCCACACCAAGGGATACCAGCAGAACCAGGATGCAGGCTACCAGCAGGCTGAGGGTAATGAGGCTACATGTCAGGCCTGAAAAAGACACACACGACACACACATTCAACACCAGATTCAGACACAGCGAGGAGCAGTCCCTCCTCCCAGAGAGTGTCACTGGCTAGCTTGTTTGTTTTTGACACCTGGTCTCACTATGCAGTCTTCATTTTGTAGCCCTGGCTGGCCTGGAACTCATGAAGAGCTGTGTGACTCCCATCCCTGGAGGCAGCCCCTCTGGTTGCATTTTAAGCAGACTTGCTTCTGGCTCACTTTAAATATCACTGGGGAATTTTATGTAGAAAATGCCATGTTACATCTGTATTTTGCTAATAAGACTTGGGAGCTGTTTCGAAGGAGGTAGACACATGTCGTGCCTAGTAATATGATTTTACTCTTCATGCAAAAAAACTTTTGGCTGGGCGGTGGTGGTGCATGCCTTTAATCCCAGCACTTGGGAGGCAGAGGCAGGTGGATTTCTGAGTTCAAGGCCAGGCTGGTCTACAGAGTGAGTTCCAGGACAGCCAAACTACACAGAGAAACCATGTCTACAAAACAAAACAAAACAAAACAAAACAAAAAACTTTTATTTGAATTTCACAAAAAAACAGACAGCTATATTTTCTTTGCATTTTACATGGGGTTAGAATGTTCACAGACCAACACTGGTCATTTGGCATCCTTCCCCTTTGAATCTAAAACCCCCAGTTTTGAGTGTTTACATACATGTATGTGAGTGTGCACATGGTGTATGCACACACGTGTGTGGGTATGGCGACCAGAGGAGCATGACAGGTGTCCTGCCCGGTCACTTTCTACCTCATCCTCTTGAGGCAGTGTCTCTCACTAAACCTGGCACTAGATTGGTGGCCAGAACACCCCAGAGGTCCTCCTGTCTCTACCCCATCCTCAAAAGTCAGGGTTACAGGTGTGTGTTGCTGGGCCCAGCTTTTTATGTGGACACTCAGGATTTGAACTCAGGGCTGTGTGCCTGCATAGCAACCGTCCTAATCTGAAAAGTCATCTCTCCAACTTCTGTCTCTGTTTTTGTTTTGTTTTTTTAAAGATAAGGTTTCCTGTCTCCCAGGCTGGTCTCTAATTCACTGTGGCCAAAGATGATCTTGAACTTCTGATTTTCCTGCCTCCACCTCTCAAGCGCTGGGATTACACTTGTTGGGCCACTCTGGGCATTTATGCAGGGTTAGAGGTTGAACTCAGGGCTTTGTGCATGCGAGGTAAGCACTCCACCAACGAAACTACATCCTCTGCCTCTTGGTTTTCTCCTTTTCAGTACAGTGGACTGTACTGTGTCTCTTTCTGCAAATGCATCCCTCCACCTCCTTTAGTCAGGCCAGCGCATCTTTCCCCAGCAGAGGCACAGGAAGTCTTATGGATACCCCGGAGTTTAGCCACCAGTGGCAATCTTAGCTGCTTCCTGTGTGTTACTTTTATAAACAGCCCCTCAAAGAACATTCTGGCATGTTCCTGTATGTAGGTGCCTTCCCGAGATAGAAGCTGAAAATGGGGACTACTAAACCACAGACGTCCATTTGGGTTGTAGTAGACTGCTGGGTGCCTTCCTTTATACTCCCACCCCACGGGGCACCTCACTGGGTGGCCAGATTAACAGTGTTTTAGTTTTTGTCAGTCCCGTGTGCCTTCACGGGAGAGAGAGGGAGACCATTGATTTTACTTCAATCCCGATTCTAGGTAAGCTTCAGCCTGTCTGCTCACATAAGCCACGTATGTGCTTGTTCTTCTGTGAGTCAGGTATCTGTTCACTTGCCTGATTTTCGCAAGCTATTTAAACTGCATGGCTTGTGTCCTTAGTGTCCTAGATCCTTCTCCAATACCCTCTGGCCTCAGACCAGCCCCATCGTTGACCTCCCTACAGGGCTGAGGTGCAGAGCCCAGCCTCCTGGGTGAAAGGACAGAATCGTGGGTTTGGGCTCCAGGTTAAGAAGTCTAGAAAGCCCTCCGCATGTGAGGGAGGAAGTGAATATGCACTAGGTGTGTATCATACGCCAAGGACAGTGCCAGCTAAACGCTTCGGCTTTTGAGGACAAGAGGCGGGAGTTGTTTTACTGTTCCCTCTCACTTCATAGTTCTGAGAAACTAAGGCCTAGGCTGGGGATACAGCGCAGCTGGTTGAGTGCTGGCGGAAACCAGGTCATGGAGGCACTTTGCAGAGCTTGGCAAATTTGCTACAGCTCACCCAGTTGGTGAGCTCTAAATGAGGGTAGCTGATGGCATGCAAGCTATATGTCCAGGCTTTCATGGTGGTACAGCTAGCATCAGAGTGTCAGGGTCCTCTCCAGGGGAGGACGGGCAGGCTAAACAAAGCTCCTTTGGAGTGAAATGGTAGCCAGAAATATGCTGTTGCAGTTGGAGGAGAATGGTGGTTTATTTCAACTGATCGCTGCCTCTTTCTCTATAGAAGTGTTCTCTCTCTCTCTCTCTCTCTCTCTCTCTCTCTCTCTCTCTCTTCTCCCTTCTTCTTCTCTCCCTCTCAATATTTTTGCCCCCTCCCCCTTCCCATTTATGTATCCATAAATATGCAGCTATGTGTGTTTCTTTTTAAAATTTACTTATACACAGGGTCTCATTCTGTAGCTCGGTGAGGCCTAGAACTCACTATGTAGTCCAGGCTAGCCTCAGACTTATACTGATCCTCCTGCCTCAGCCTCTTGAGTGCTGAGATTACATACAAGAACCACCATGCCTGGCTTATTTATTTCTGAGACAGTATTTCAGTATGTTATACAGACTACTCTCAAACTTATGAGCTCAAGTGATCCCCCTGCCTCAGCCTTCTGAAAAGCTAGGCCAATAGAGGCTGTATTTTGTGGGGTTTGCTTTTATTTTTGTTGCCCAACTCTCAATCCTTCTAATAAAGTTTTCAGAGCATAATATATTATAAAATAAAGTCAACTGTGTCTTCCCCTTCATAGTCAGTAATACTTTGCCTTTCTGCTCGTGGCTTTGGGTTTTCTTTTTTGATTAGTATTTTGATTTGTTTGAGACAGAGTCTCTTATAGCCCAGGCTGGCTTCAAACTTGCTTTGTAGGTGAGGAGGACCTTGAACTTCTGATCTCTTGTCTCACCCTTCCAGGTGCTGGGATTATAAGCATAAGGCACCAAACCTGGCCAGGTTCCAACTTTCTGTCCACAGTGACCTCAGGAGGCAGTGTCTTTCAGTCTCCAATACCCTACAGGGAATACCTCCGCTGGGGCTTTTGTATGTTGCAGTGAAGCAAGTCAACCTGCACCCAGCAGTCCTGGGATGGTATTGTAGTTTGTTCTCTGGGTCGTGGCAGATGCAACTTTCTGTTTGTCACCAGTAACTTTAGGGGGTTGAAGTTAGTATTTTTCCAGAAATACATCTGAACCTGTGTGTCAGGAGCCATAATGTAACAAGCTAATAATTAGCAGGTGATCATCCTGAAATGCTTTCCTTGGATTATTATATAATCTGTGACAAGTGAGTGCTTATTCAGCAAGGCTGTAAGGAACTTATTTTAGGAAAGATTCCTGCTATTAATATGCTTTTTCTATTATTATTATTACTATTATTATTAAACAAATATAACAATCATTAAGCAATAGCACACTCCTTTGGAGCAGATATCTGCAGATCCATTAAGATGTTCTGTCTTGTAGTGATGCTATATAGACAAACAGATGACTTCTTAAGTCTTAATGATGATCCTATAAGAATTCCTAAAATTATAACAATGATTATTAAGCTCTTTATAGTGAGACTGCTAATAGGTCCCTTTCTGATAGTCAAAACTGCAATGAGAACTCTGCCAGTCTCCCAAGTGGCATCAGTTAATTGCTTTTAGATAGTAACCAGACTTTCTCCTACTCAGAGCACATTCTAAGAGGTTGTAAAACAATTAACCACAGGTCATAAATAGGGAACTAATGATTTATTATAGGTGCTAGGACAGAAGATAAAATATGGCCTGGGTTTATCTATACAAAACTTCACTAATAACTTAGTTATAGTTTTAAACCTTCAGTGAACCTGTGGAGCCAGACAGGTGATGGATGTTTAGCCAGATAATTACTCCTAATGGATATGCATGTAAACATTCTCTGTTGTAAACTTCTATTTCAATTTATGATTTGAATTTTGGTGTGAACTTGTGATGAACATTGTAACATGTGACCATGTACTCTGAAAGATGTGTAAGTACTGAGGACAAAGAGATGAGAGACAGATACAATGGAGAGAGAGAATAGAATTTTTTGCCTTTCCTCACTTAGAGTAGTATATAGAATACAAATTTTTCCCTTTTCCCAGATAGAATAGAAATTTTCCTTTTCCCCACTTAGGACCTTTCCACTTTTCTCCTTAGATAGCTTTTATAGGAAACTTTTAATAAACTCTATAATCACTTCTCTAAGTGTCTTTTCTTCCTGCGACCTCAGACTAGCAGACATAAGTTAGAGCCCAGCAGTTCCTGCTGAGATAGAACAAAGGCTATTTATTTAATCCTTTGCTGTTTTTAGGATGAGGTAATAAGTGCAAGAAACTGCAGTTTCTGGCCTCAGAGGATCATAGAAGATAGATCAGCTACAGTAGCATAGTAACTTAGATAAGTAAATGTTTATTATATAACAACCCTAAATATCTCGTAAGACCAAGTCTTACCCCCCAACCCCCGCTGATGCTCTTCCCCCTCCACTGCCTCAAGAAGAACTGACAAGAAGAAGAAAGAAGATGACTTCCCCCTCAAGCTGGGGCTGGCTCCCCGGCACCTGTGTCTTTAAAGGAAGCACACATGTACCTACTCCAGCTGAGATGCCTGGATTCAATCTTTAGCATGTTGGGATACCAACCTTTGTGTTAGATGCTCTGTTAGAATTCAAAACTGGAAAAGAGAGAAGAGCTGGTCCTTTGGACTGGAAGCTTTTGCTTGTTGACAGCTTGATTGTGACATGATTTGCAAACCTGAAACTTCATCTGTTAAAAGTATACAACTTTGAGCAGGCTGCACATGCCTACAGTTCCAGAACCTGTGAGCCTAAGGCAGAAGACTTGTGCATTGGAGACCAGTCTGGGTTAAACAGCTCCACCCAGCCTGCATCTACATGGAAAAACCATGACTCTATGAAAACTTAAAGACACACTCAGAGGGCTTTAGAGTCTTCTTAGAGGTGTGAAACCATCATGCCTTTAACTCTAGGGCATCTTGAGAGTCCCAGAAAAACCAAAACTTTGTATTGGTTAAGGCTTTTGCGTTATTCCCCGATGCCCTTCCCTTAGGCAGCCATTCATCTATCTCTGTCTCTGTGACCTTAAGAACCTCGGACATTTCACATCTATGCAGCCACACAATATATGGTCTTCATTGTATCAAGACAAGGCTCACTAAGTAGACCTGGCTAACCTGAAACTTGCTTCATAGACCAGGCTGCCCTTGAACTCACAGAGCTATGCCCACCTCTCTGTCTCTGAGTACCAGGATTAAAGATGTGGGCCTCACTACCTGTCTAAAGTGTGTTTTGTTTGTTTGCTTGTTTGTTTGTTTGTTTCTATAACTGACCCTTCGCTGTGCATTTTCAAGATTCATCCTAACTTAAACATGTATCAGTATTTTATTTTGGGGGAAGATGGCATTTGAGACAGGATCTTTCATAGCCCAGGCTAGCCTCAGATCTTACATAGCCCAGGCTAGCCTCAGATGTGATATATAGTTGAGGTTAACTTTGAGTTCCTGATTCTCTTGCTTCTACCAATGAGTGCTGGGGTTACAAATGTGTGCCACCACGTCTGGACTCTTTCTTTTTACAATCAGGGATTCTCTACATAGCTCAGGCTAACCTCGGACTTGTGGTCTTGCTCCCATTTCCTGAGTGTTCGGAGTATAGGCCTGAACTCCCACACCCAGCCAGTGCTCAACTCTTTTTTAAAAACTTACATTTATTGATTGATTGACTGCACGATATGGACAGTTTAGTGCCATGGCACACATGTGGAAGTCAGAGGACAACTTGCAGGACTCAGTTTTCTCCTTCTACCATGTGGGTCCTAGGGACTGAACATGATCAGGCTTGGCAGCAAGAGCAGCTACTAGCCAAGCCATTTTGTGACTCTACGACTTCATTCTGCGAGTGCCCTTGTGGCACCTGAATTCTGTCTTGTTGAGGAACATCTGGGTTGTGAGTACTTTTCTGGCTATGACGAGTTGTGCTGCTGTGAGCATCTGAAGGCAGAGTTTGGCTAGATGTGTTTTCCTTAAGGTCTGACTCTGGAATGATTTGTGAGTGTGGCCTCCTGAGACTAAGTTGCTGTCATACATAGGGTACCTTTTGTTGACACCAGCTTGGAGCTAGAGAAATAGGCTACAGAACCAAGACTTCATAAGTGTTTGTACAAGGAAGGAAGAGAGGAAGGAAGGAAGGAAGGAAAGAAGGAAGGAAAGAAGGAAGGAAGGAAAGAGAAGGGGAAAGGGAGGAAGGGAAAGTGAAAAGCTGCCTTTTTTTATGTGAGTGCAACAATGGAAAACTTACCCTTCTGGGTCTTTGGTTTGGGGAGTGGGCATTGTTTCTTTTTCATCTTTGGGGTAGTCTTCTTGATTGGGGCAGTTGTGGGAAGGACATCAACTATAGAAAGAAACAAGAACCATATCTTAGTCAGATAAGCAGCAGGGCTTCCAGGCAGACTGTGTGCCTTTCTTCTAGGCATTGATGCCCTCATGATTGTTGCCTTGGCTAGCATAGAATTTCAGGTCACAGAGCACAAGAATTCATATCTGGTTTCTCAGTTCTCAGATGAATGGAGAGCCTATGGGTGGGGCTTAGCTGGGTGTCCCGAGCAGAGCCTTGTGCCGGTCATTAACAACTGTGCAGCCTCGGCTAAGCTGTCTGTTCCTCAACGTCCCATTTGCTGTAAAGAAGATGACTTCTGCCAGGCAGTGGTGACACTGGCCTTTAATTTAAGCACTTGGGAGGCAAAGGCAGGTGGATTTCTAAGTTTGTGGTCAGCTTGGTCTACAGAGTAAGTTCTAGGAGAGCCAGGGCTACACAGAGAAACCCTGTATCAAAAAAAAAAAAAAAAAAGATGCTTTCTACTTAGTTGTGAGAATTAGGAGAGCAGTGTGCCTAGTGAAGTATACTATAGGCATGACTGTGATTGGCAAAAGACCTTGGGTTGCTGTCTTTACTCTAGTCTGGTGTGGTAGCACACACCTTTTTTTTTTTTTTTTTTGGTTTTTTGAGACAGGGTTTCTCTGTGTAGCCCTGGCTGTCCTGGAACACACTCTGTAGACCAGGCTAGCCTCGAACTCAGAAATCCACCTGCCTCTGCCTCCCAAGTGCTAGGGTTAAAGATGTGCGCCACCACTGCCCGACATTATTTGCTTCATCTTAACACTCAAAGATGCAGGGGTCTTTCAGCTGCTCAGTGGTGAGCCTGGGAGGGAGATAGGATAGCAGAGGGGTGAAAACAAGAGAAGGTTGTTCTGTTTTAATTTCATCTTGCTCTAAGTCAGGTCACTCCATGATCTGTGAGTTCAACCTCTCCCTCTCTGTCTTTTTTTGAGAGGGACAAGTCCTTGGAATCCATAGTATGCTTGAGGGTCTGTTTTCCCCAATACTCTATGAACTACTCAATCTTCTCTAAAACGCTGAGACCCTACAACGAGGCAGGTAGGCTCAGGCTCTGGGGGTCTGTCACTGGGGAGATTGTATCCAAGAAGGAACTTGGGAAGACACTGCTGTTCATAGGTTGTTGAACAGTACACAGGACATGGAAACATGAAAGCCAGGATAGGCAGAGATGGAAAATCACCATCTTGTCTCAGACCCTGAAGCACTAGGAAGGCAGGGGCCTCATAGAAATAAAACCAAAACCAAACGAAACCAAACCAACAAACAAAACTCCAAAAAATAAACACAAAGCCCAAGTTTCAAAGTGGGCTTCTGCCCATCCATACTTTACCCAACCCCCACCTCACCAACATGAAACCAGAGATCAGAGAGACCATGGAGGCCTCGCTCTGTTTCTGGTGTCACTGTTGTGTCGTTATAACTCTGGCACTATTCCCAGCTGTCTCTGTACCTCCTTAGGCCCAGCGGCCTAACTTCTGGGGATGTCTGGGGTGCTCATGACTGTCAGCCCCCAGGTGAGCATGAGGCAAGACAATGAAAGTCCAAGTCCTGGACTGAGCTGAAGAAAGAACTATAGCCAACTGCTGGCCTGAGAGAATCCACCCCAGGAGAGGAATCCTCACTGTCCAGTATGGCTAGTCTGAACACAGATATGCCGTATGCATAAAATATGTATCAAATGTCACGTATGGAAAAATAGGTCACCTGTTGAAATGCCAATGTTGTTTCGATAAGTTGGGTTCAGCCAAATGCACTTATTTCTTCTTAATTAGATGCCCCTTAGAAAATGGAAAATGGTGTCTAAGGTTTGCAATGTACTTCTGCATGCACATGGTCATTTATTTAATGAAACTGCAGCTTCCTAGAAGTAGAGGCGAGCCAGCAGCTGCCTTGTACAGATAGGGAAACTGAGGCTTTGGGAGGGGAAGAGCATGTGATGGATTGGTAGCCAGGCTAAGCTTGAGGTCCAGTCTCTTTGCCCATTGAAGCCCCAAGTGTGGATTTGAGCCACTGAACCTTACAAAGAATGCTGAAGACAACTGCTTCTCTGCTACCTCAGAAGCACTCTGAGTGTGTGCCCAGACAGTGAGAGTCTGTATGCACTCGGGGTCCTGAGGTTGCCGTCTTTGTCTCCATCAGAATCATAAGCATCCGCCTCTGACTGACTCCCATCCAAAGTGAGGGAACAAATATACCATCTGCTGGGTGGATGGACGTATTAAGCGACCTTGCTGTATGTGACCCTCAAAGGTGTTTGGCCTGGGTAACCCTCAATGTATCTTTTCTATTAGTCTTAGCAGTGGTGTGACTAGTCATGGCTGCAGAGTGAGGCCCACTGAGAGTGGGCAGCTTCAGTGTCCAGTGTGTGGGTGTGTGTGTGAGTGTGTGTGCAAGCATGTGTATGTGCGCATGTAAGTGCACATCTGTATGAACATATGTATGTGTGTGTACATGTGTATACATGTGTGTACGTGTGTGTGTGTGTGTGCTTATTCATAGCCTTGAGAACATTCTTACCCACAGTCAGGTTTGTCCCACTCCCAAAGACCATCTTGGGGCTCCCAACTGTCGCACAGAAGTAGAAGTCACTGTCCTCTGGTTTCACATTCATGATACTGAGAGAGGGCCCGGTTGACGGAATTATATTCTTCTTCTCCCTTTCACCATACGTAACTCCTTTAGAAGAACTCCAGGAGGCCAGGAATTCAAAGTGCTTGCCCTTGGTAGGGTCCTGGTGCTCTCTCAGCCAGTAGATGACTGCTGACTTAGAGTTGCTTTTAATCTCACAGGAGATTTTTGCGGTACCGTTGGTTTGAACCAGCAGGAATGGAGGGGTCTGAATGAGGGCAGAGCTGCTCCAGAGAGCTACAAGAAACCAGAAGAAATAAACCAGGCTACTGCTATACACGGCAATCTTAGCACTCTGTGGGTAGAAGTACAGGACCAGAACTTCAAGTTTGGTTACCTAGTGAGTTCAAGCTCAGCCTGGGCTACATGAGAACTTAAAAAAAAAAGAAAGAAAGAAAGAAAGAAAGAAAGAAAGAAAGAAAGAAAGAAAGAAAGAAAGAAAAGGTAGGGCTGGAGAGATGACTCAGCATTAAGAGCACTGGCTGCTCTTCTAGAGGCCCTGAGTCCAATTCCCAAAAATTGTATCATGGTAACTCACACCCGTCTATGATATGACCACGTGCCCTCCTTTGGCATGTAGGTATACACGCAGACAGAACACATAAATAAATACATTTTGTTGTTGTTGTTTCCGAGACAGGGTTTCTCTGTGTAGCTCTGGCTGTCCTGGAACTCACTCTGTAGACCAGGCTGGCCTGGAACTCAGAAATCCGCCTGCCTCTGTCTCCCAAGTGCTAGGATTAAAGGCATGCACCACCACCGCCAAATAAAACTTTAAAAAGTTAAGTAATTCTTAAGAAAGGAAAGAAAAAAGGAGGAAGGGAGGGAGAGAGAGGGAGAGAGACGCGGACTTGTGAAGTAGCTCAACAGGTAAAGGTGTTTAGTACCAAGCCTGAGTTCAACCCCTAGCGCAGTGGTGGGGCCTCAGAATCACAATGAGTTTGTGTCACAGGCAAACAGGAAAAATCTGCCTGGTGAAAGAGTCAGGGTATTAACAACACTCGATGTCTTCTGAATTTAGAACTCACATTGACTGCAAGGCACGCAATTCTGAGTGTGCCTTTAGCACGGCTTTTGATTAGCAACACATTTCTATGAGTGGCCCTTGGCATAAGCTATCTTAGAGAAGTCTCAGACTGGCTCCGGGATATTTATCCTCCTTACACTGAGGAGAAAACCCTGGCATGAGGCTACCTCATTTGGAGTCTCACTGGATTCAAATCCAAAGAGTCAGAGTAGAAAGGCAAAGCTAGCCGTCCACCTCACCTGTGTAGATAGGCCTTCAGGGGCTCTAAGCAGCTGAAAAAGTTCTAGGGCAAGCTGGGAGAAGAATTTGGAGTCATAGGCACAGTGTGGTTTAGACAGTCTGAGATTTCAGGACCGAGGGAAAGGAGCTGACCCTGGGAGGTCGTTACTTCCTAGTCCTTCCAGGGGTCCATTACTGACTTCTCACGCCTCAGGGCAGGGCAGTTAATACAGAAGCAAGCTTGGAAGTTCATTTTGTGTCCGATGGGAAAGAAGACGGGGCAGACAGAGGGAGTTGCTTGCTGTTGACGGTTGGAAAGAAAAGAAAGGAAGGCAGGCATGATGGTGCACACTTAGAATCCTAACACTTGAGAAGCCGAGTCAGGAGGATTTCTTTGAGTTTGGGGCCAGCCTGGGCTACATAGTGAATTTCAGAGGAAAAAAGGAGAAGTTAAGTCATATGTAAACAGTGAAGCGCTCACACAGGTAATCTTACGCACACACTGGAGGTACCCATGTGAGCACTCACACAGGTAAATTCTGCTGGCAAGTCTAACGGTCTAAGGAGATGTTCTAGGCACCAAGAGAAATCTCAAGGAGCATCAGACCAAGTTTCTTTCACATCCAAGACCGTGAGGGTGTCAACAAACCTGTTTGATCTAGAAAGCCTTTTTTCTTTGGCTTGCAACAGAGGGCCACCCTACAGATCATGGCCAAGATATAATGCCAAGGACAGGCATGGCTAAGCAGAGGCCAGAGGATGTATGAGCCCAGAAGAACCAGCTGCTTGGTGTTAATAGCACAGATCCCTCCCTGTAATTGTGGCTCGGGCCTTCCGAAGGACGCCATCACGGCCTTCCCTAGGACTGATGTGATGAACTAATCCTGAATCCACCCTCAGACCACGCCGAGCCTCTGCTTGCATGGAGCTGCTGCGTCCCCCTTCCCCAAGTTTCAGGCTACCATTTCTGTCCCATCGCAGCCATTTTTATTGCTTTGAGTTACTGGCCTCTTTGGGGAAGTTAATAGGAAATGATGATGTCCATATATATTGCAGTACGTCAGGCACAGTGTGTGCACTGCCTGATTTAATCCTCACTAAATCTTTTGGGGAGAGACTAATTTTTCATGGGAGCAAACAGAGCTCCAGGGAAAGCTGTACTCAACGTCCCACAGTCTGTGTGAAGTGGACTCGCACTCAAATGGGGATCATAGGACTCGGGTGAACGAACTCTGGGCCTCCCAATTGAGAAGACCTATACACATAGTGGGGGCACAAATACATAGATGGCAGGAGCCTTTCCACAAAGTCCAGAGGACATGCACAGCCAGGCTTTATGTCACATTTGATCTGCTTGGTAGCCCAGGATTCTGTTTTCAGAGGAACCTGGTATTCTAGAATGATCAGAGGTAGCTTTAGTGGCTTTGTTTTATTATTTCCTCTTTTGACCAGTTGAGCTAACCTGGTCAGAGGCAGGGACTGGCCTGCCCTGTCTCCCTCAGTAGTATAATCAGTTTGGGGCTTTAGCCTGCTACCAGACCAGTGGCTATTGGAAGAGTCTTCCTCTAAAAAGCCAACTCTCTGGGTTGATCACAATGACAATCTTTAGGCCACACCTCTGTGCCAGTTCCAACATTCCATCTGCAGTGTCACTTCTTGGAGGGATGGGAGAGATGCTGAGAACACTGGAGAGCCAGGAGGTCATAATGAGTACCCTGCCACAGTTGTCCAATTTACCAGAAGCACTTTCCCGGAAGTAATAAGAGTACGTCTACAGGGCCTCTGGGAGCTTCATGGGGTACATCTCTGTGGGCACCCTGAACAGCAACAACATTTCCCCTTCAGTTTTGGATCTCTTTCTTCCCTTTTCTTCCATTTTTCCTTCCTTCCCTTTTAGTTCAGGCTGTGGGACAGAGGTAACTTCTGTCCTGGGCATCTCAGACCTTTCTGGGTAATGAGGAGGAATCTTTTCGTTTTCAGGGTCTCTCTGCCTACCAGCCTCCCCTTTTTCACAGCCCAGCTCCGGTCTATTCCTCCTGTTGCTGAGACTGCCAGGCCTAAGTTCCCAGCTGTAGTACAGATTTGGAGTAGCCCCACTCTGGGTCTTACCTGCCAGCTTCATACTGAAGACCAGCCAGAGCCACGGCTGCATCGTGGCACTCTTTGGGGCACCTGTTCCCCTCAGGGCTCTGTCAACTGAAAGATAGATTAGGATCCAGCTTGGGCGGGTGGGGCACCCTGAACGTTAGTGTGCTAAGAGGGCGGGGCCACCAGGGCAGGGGTGGAGTCGTGGTGTGTGTGTGTGTGTGTGTGTGTGTGTGTGTGTGTTGAGCGCTCCCCACAGCCTTCATCCTCATCCTCTACAGCATCAAAAGCCTTGACTTTTCAAAGAGCCCACCACCAGGACTCTCTTCTGGTGAGAGGAAGTGATAGATCTCAGTCTCAGTCATGCCAAGGAGTTGCACCTGTGTGATGCCTCTTGGCCCTGGGGAGAACTCAGGACAAAACCCTGATACCTTGGGACAACTGAGTCACAGCGGTCAGCATGCTCCAGGTCTCACAGTTTTGTGAAGCTTGGCCCTAATTCACACACTTCCTCACATTAGTTCTTTCTGTGCAGCTAGAGGAGGGGTTCATCTTGGTTTGAGGACACAGTCCATTGTGGAGGGGAACACGTGGCGGCAGGAGACTGAGGCTGTATGTGTGTGGCCCAGCAAGGAGATGAGTTATGGAGACCCTCCCAGTGCTAGAGTTCAGCTGGGCGGGAGTGATGGAGACCGCCTGTGAGGGTGGAAGGAAAATTAACCAGCACAGAGACAAAGGAGGGAGAGAGGCAAGCTGGAAGGCTACGGAGGGGCCCAGACCGTGCCCGAAGGTGAGGCAAAGTCAAACCTAGACCTAGAGCCCTACGGACTGGACTGTGGTGTCTGTATGTCTCCCCTCCCCTGCCCTGCCTAACAGTGCTGTATGCCCTGGGGCTTCTTTATCAGTTTTGAGATCAAAGCCCCATCAAGAACCCATGAAGAGCAGGGAGGCCTGTGGAGGTTGGCAGAGGTGAGTTGAAAGAGTGGTTGTTCAGGGAAACTGGACCCTTAGTGATCTGTCTGCTGGGGAGAGAGGCTGGGGAAGGACTGTGAGAGATACACCACAGAACATTTTGGGGGGTTCATCGAGCAGCAGCCAGGCCGGCCCTGGAGCCATGTACACGGTGAGCTGGAGTTTCAGAAGAGTGGATGTGGTAACAGTAGCGGCTAAAGCTGGCAGTGAGGTCAAGATACGGTCACCTCAGTGTCCAAATCCGTTATTCTTTCCACCCTACTCTCGCCAGTTTCTGGTGACAGGGGCAGAAGCTGAGGCAGGCGTTCGAAGGTTCTCGAGACACAGGAGGAAATGGTCATGTCCTCATGGCCGAGTCTCAGAGGTCTCTGCCCTCTGAGAGTCCGGCTGGTCTCCACCATACAATCCTCTTATCTTTGTTCCCAGGTGAACCTGCTAAGGCCCAGATGTGCACAAGGTAGACAGCCCTAGGAAAACCACAGAGTAGTAGTTCTTAAAATCGAGGTAAGATGCAGGGATCCCAAAGTGGACCACGTGAGAGGACACAGTATGTCTGCCGAGGGATGGATGGTATGCTCGCTCCCCGTCTGGCGCTTGTGCCAGAACCTGGTAACCGCTCTTTGTGTTGAATGTAGTTATTCTTCACAAATGGAACTGTTCACCATATGTCCTTAGTAAACTGCGACTGTGGGTTTGGGAGCAGGGGTTTCAGGTTCGGGATAACGCTCAACTCCTCCTTCTACCTCACCAGGACATCTTAACTCTTTTCTGCTTGTAAGCCCTTTCAACCCCTCAAACTTTTCCATGTCCCCAGGTATAGGTCTATGGAACATTTATACAAAACAATCGTTTACTGATGACTAGTCATAAAACAAATCTGTTTTCTTCTACTTTTTAAAAAGATTATATTTTTGTGTGTTTGTGGGCCAGGAGAGTGCGTCAAATACGCTGGTGTTATGGAATGTTATAAGCCACCTGATACAGGAGTTGGGAGCCTAACTCGGGTCTGTTGGAAGAGCAGCGAGCACTCTTAACCTCTGAACTGTCTCTCCAGGTCCCACTAAAATTATTTTAAAGAAAAATTTTGCTCTAATATGTTACCATTTATTAACGATTAAAGTAAAAGTTCATACTAAAGGGATGGTGGTGCTTGTTTATTTTTATATGAAGAATTAAATCCGGCCTGAGTATTTGATTCTCCAGAACATAGAACATCAGAGTCGACTGCCATTTTGATTTTATAATTATCAATGCAGAGAAAGCTGCTTTATATAGATATAGCACAAATGGAAGACATATGTTTAGATGTAGTTCAGAAATTGTTGGCCTAATCCCTAGCCAAAATCCATTTAATAATTTAAAACACTTTTAAAGGTGTATTTATTTTATTCTATGCGTGTGAGTGTTTTGCCTGCGTGTGTGCATGTGTATCACATACATGTCTGGAATCTGGGGCAGTTAAGAGTGTTGGATCTCCTGGCACTGGAGTTACAGATGGTTGTGAGCTGCTATGTGGGTGCTGGAAACAGAGCCCAAATCCTCTGCAAGAGCAGCCAGTGCTCTTAACCACTAAGTCATCTCAGCATGGTTTTTGTTTGTTTTGTTTTGGATAAAATACAGGTCAGCAACTCAGACATCAATTATGAAAATCAAACATTCTAGCATGGCAGTGATGGCACACACCTTTAAGCCCAGAACTCAGGAGACAGGTATCTCAATTTGAGGCCAGCCTAATCTACAGAGTGAGTTCCAGGACAGCCAGGGCTACACACAGAAACCCTGTCTGGAAAAACAAAACAAAACAAACAAATGAACAACAACAACAAAGCCCAAACAAATAAAAAACCCCAAATCAAACATTCTAACATCGTACAATATAAAATATACTAATTGAATAGTTGCATGATAAGGGGTGGTGAAAAGCACTAACAGTTCTTGTTTCTGTAATTAAACCACGGTGTCTCTCCAGGAGCAGAGAGTTTAGTACATCTATTACGAACACACAATTCACAACATGAACTTGTCTCAAATCTGACTTCAGTGGCTAATGTTCTGTGACATGATGGGACGTGCAGGGCCAAGAGCCCTCACTGAAGGTTCAGAGCCATGTGATAAAATGAAAGTACGCTCTGCATTCATCAGACACTTGATTTTTCTTTCTTTCTTTCTTTCTTTCTTTCTTTCTTTCTTTCTTCCTTCCTTCCTTCCTTCCTTCCTTCCTTCCTTCCTTCCTTCCTTTCTTTCTTTCTTTCTTTCTTTCTTTCTTTCTTTTTTCCTTTCTTCCTTCCTTTCTTTTTTTTGGTTGGGGGAGGGGTCGGTGAACATTCAGAAACCTTCTATCACAGCCAGATTTTGTGCAACCCTTACATTGAGTTACATGGTCAATTCTGGGGTTGTGACCCACAATTTAAAAAGCTGGAAGTCTCCGGGCAGTGATGGTGCATGCCTTTAATCCCAGCACTTGGGAGGCAGAGGCAGGTGGATTTCTGAGTTCGAGGCCAGCCTGGTCTACAGAGTGAGTTCCAGGACAGCCAGGGCTACACAGAGAAACCCTGTCTCGAAAAACCAATAAATAAATAAATAAATAAATAAAATAAAATAAAAAGCTGGAAGTGCCCAAGTGCTGGGACAGCAGGTGTCTGCCACCACACCCAGCACAGGAGTGAAATGGCTGGTCTTTGGGTCCATCTGTTTGGGAACTATCTGTTTTCCATAATGGTGACTCCAATTTACAAGAGCACCAACAGTGGAAAAGAGCTCTAATGTGCCCACACCCCTGCCAGGCCAATCACTTGTGGGTTTTGGTTTTGTATCCAGCCTAGTGTTTGTGAATGGCTATCTCATCAGGGTTTGGTTTGCATTTTGTTACCATCTAAGGATGTCAAACCTCTTCTTACGGCTTACTGGCCATGTGTATGTCTTTGTATGTTTGTTTAAAATGGTTGTGATTTAGAAAACACATTCTATGCTTTTTAGAGGAACATCTGTGCTGTGCACATTGCTCTCTTGGTCCTACTCGCTCACTACTACTCAGAATTCTCTCAAATCGGCTTAGTCAGCATGTCATTATAAAGTGCCTCATCTCAGCAGTGTGGCCACCCATGTGTGCTCAGCGTCTTTCCACTCCTTCATGAACACCAGCTGTGCTGGTTAGTTTTAACTGTCAACTGGACATGGCCTAGGACCTCCTCACAAGAGCTTCAACTGAGGTATTATGTAGATCAGGTTGGCCTGTGGGTATGTCTGTGGGGGACTGTCTTGATGGTTGATTAATGGCAGGCAGGCCACCATGGGCAGTACAATTCCCTAGGCCCTAAAGTATGAAAACCTAGAGAAAGCAACAAGAGATCAAGTAAGCAAAGACGTCTGCTTTTTTTTTGTTTTGTTTTTTGTTTTTTGTTTTGCTCTTAACTGTTATGTAACTAGCTGCTTTGAGTTCCTGCCTCAACTTCCCCCAGTGACGGACTTTAAACTGATATAAACCCTTTCCCCCTCAGATTGCTTCTGATCAAAAAGCTTTATCACAGCGACACAAATGAAACTAGAACACGGAGCTCATCAAGGAAGCAGCTCTCTCAGTTCATGATTAAAAGTAACTGTTTTGTCAGGGGGTTAAAACCACAGAAAGGGAATTCCTGAATACCTTAGTTGGAAACTCTCATACTCTTGTGATAAATTAACCTCTAAATATTGGTGATATAACGCAATGCAAAGCCACTGAGACATTTGGTGTCATTTGAAAGCAGTGTGCCAGGCTCGGGAGTATGTGCTCCATTTGGTCTGCATGGGCCCATGATCTGTTTGTCTTGTGAATCCCCATATTCAGTTCATAGCTCCAGGAATCTTCGTGCGAGGTGAAGCCAGTAGATGACTTCACAAAGCATGGTGGGGAGAGCCCTAGAGACCAAGACCTAAATCCTATGGACCCCACCAAACTGCAAGGGTGCTCGAAACAAAACAAGCAGAACGCCAAAAATCAAACCAAACCAACCAACCAAATATGCCGGGAGTGTTGCTGGAAACATGAATGGAGAAGGAAAGGAAGTCAGTGGATAGGTGGTCAGCATCTGCCATGCTTGAGACAGCAGAGAGGGTCCTGTTAGCTTTGATCCTGTTACTTGTCCTCGGGCCTCAAAGATCCTGGACGCTTTTTATACTG